ACATTCATCAACTCCCAGCTACTCTTCGTCTAAGCAGTTCTGTCAAGCATAGTGCGATCAGGTTATTTCATTTCATATGCCAACTTTGAGCATATTGGCATGTGTTGTTATGTCGTATGTGTGGGTGCTTATTCCCTTATACGTAATGCCACAAAGCTAACAGTGATAGCCTCATGTAATGTTAAGAGTGCGTAACTTCTGATCTCGGTCTTCAAGTTTTAATGACTTTTTTCATCATCTCGTCTCGTTAAGTTGATGAGCCTTTTGTGTGAACTCCGACGTAGGGCAAGTGTGCTCGTAGATGTAACCAAAGTCAAGTTGAGTCGTTTCCTAGCTCAGGTCCTCAGGTCCATTAAATGACCAAACCTAGCTTTTATTCAACTTCTTACTAAATTTATTCCTAAATCTCGCTAATTTTGCATTTCGGGTTGATGTAGGGAGGCAAAGAAAGTCAACAACTTTGACTCAAACACTTATTTAAGCACTAAACATCACATACATGAATCTCTTGCTATCCATTAAGAATATCTTTATCAAACATTTTTGAGGAAAAATCTCAAATATGAAGACCTCAAGTTAAGCAGCAGGCTCCTGTTGCTGTATGGAAGTGGTTAGACTTCGCTTGCCCAATTCAGTCCCGTTGCCAGGGCAACTTAGCTGAGCGCACCTTGTCAGAAGTCCGCTGTCTTAGTAGTCATACCGATTTTCACCTTCGACTAATGGACTTGATAAATTCCAAGGCATTTCGCCGGCATCGTATTCGGCATCGTCCGTGTGTCTCGCCAGTCTAAGTACCAAGTTACAGCTCTACAATGAGACACATGAAGTCCATCTGGTGGTCAACTTTCTGTCAAAATATTGTGATATCACTCCTTGTTTTGTAGGATAGGGAGCAGGTAGGTGTACCAGGAAGGAAGGAAGACTTAAAGTGTCTATTTGGATAGTCATAGTTTGGTGCTAAGAGTGGCAGTGCTCAATGACGATGCCGGCAAAACGTCTGGAAATGTACCAAGTCCACGATCCAGTTCCGGAAAATATCCTAGTTACGGACACTTTGATAAGTTACACTTCTGTACTTACGATGGAGTCTTTCAGTGACGATGCCAACTACGATGACGGCGAGACGTTTGGGAATGTACCCAGGCCATGGTCGAACGTTAGACATCACGAATACTATGGCGAAGGCCCCGGGACTAGGTACGTTCCACAAGGTCTCCGTGATGCTCCGAACAAGTTGAGAAAAACAAGGTCGAACCAACGCTATAAAGCTAAAATAGCCTTGACAACAAAATCATGTTGCGGATACCAAGTCAAGCCATGTCATTATTGAGCAAAGTCAGGTCTTTACCTCGGTCCACTTCATTAGCATTCACATCAAAACAATAAAGCCCCAGACCCACTTTACCCGAGAACTCACAAGTATTGAGCTCGACCTAGCTCCGACGGCCTGGAGACAGAATGAAGCAGAAGACGCAACGGCCCAGAGTGTCTGCCCATCACCAATAAACACTTTGTCCAAAAGGCAGCGTACAGTAGCTAGGCTACACCCTAATCACACGAATGACGAGGGAACTCTGGGAGCACGGAAATCACACCTCACCGAAAGACCGCCCTGGAGCCAACGAGCCCAGTCGACCGCTTTACTGAA